ACAATTTGGAATAATCAGAAAACCCCACAGGCTTTCAAGAGACCGTTTTAGTGTGTAACCTTGTTACTCTGCAGTTGCCAGTAGTCAAGACATAAAGCCACTAAAGGTGACGTACGATGGGTAAAATGCCCTAAACAATACGTTTCAGGATAGTGCTAATTTCTCTTGTCAGCATTTCTGGTTCTGGTTACACGAACCACACCTAGCATATAAATTTCACTCGCATGTCTGTCCAGTACAGTAGCAACTGGAATAAATATAGAATGCCAGTGCTGGTTGGTCGACGGTTGTGAAGGCACACGTTTGTCTGACTATTCTCACAGTGCTATCGGAAACGCAAACCCAATTCGATCGAAATGAAAGGCTGACATGGCAACTTTCAAGCGATAGGCATGGTTTTTATTTCGAAGTGAAGTTTTTAAATCGAGAAAAAACTGCTTTCCAAATTACGTTTATTTTAAGAAGCATTACATAAACTGAAGTAAATCTAACAGTGGGACCACGCGCTTCGGTATTCAAAGGTCGTTTTCGATGCACTTCCCCAGAGGATTCTGGGATATGAGATCAGAATTTCAACTGGTTATACATTGTTTGCTGAAACTGAACCATAACAAAGCGGCATGTTTACACATCCTGGCACAGGCACACTGATTATCGTCGAAGCTCTCTGCTTACTTCACACTGTAAGTTAATTAATATATGAAGATTTAAGCCCAAGTTTCATCAGTATGTTTAGGAACAATGTACAGTATTCAACTGTAAGCGAATTATCCTACAGAATGAGTGTTAAAAGCTCCAAACATTTACTTCCTGGTTGCAGTCTGAGTTTGGCCGGTCTGCACCATCAACCTCTCAAGCCCTTTGAAATAAACCGGAGTATTTTCAACAACATGGTGATTCTGTTTGAGTTTTCTGAGGAGTTTCTTACTGCTTTCCTTGTAAACGCATCGGTTATGAGCTATATGGGATGTGACAGGCTGTCAGCTGTAACAACCGCGTACTCGTCGTCTCGGGTTCCGATCCAGGAAGACGGCAATGACCAGCGCAGCTAAGTTTGCTGGTACTGGCTTTCACACTTCGCTGCCAAGTCATTGTTTTACCGCCTCTGGATCTCTTCCACCCTTCACCGACCTACGAGGAAGTCGGTCGACTGGCGTACGCAACATGTGGCCAAGCCAGAGCAACCTATGCAGTGTGATCAGTTCATCTATCGAGGGTGAGTTATTTCTCCCGAATACCATTCGACGTACTTCAGAATTGCTGATCCGGTGTTCCCACCAGATTCGGGCAATGCTCCGAAGACATCATAGGTCAAACACTGAAAGTCTTTTGACGTCCTCGGCGCGCAGCGGCC